AAAACAATCCTACAAGCAAATGGACCAAAAAAGAAAGCAGGAACAGCTATACTTATATCAGATAAAACAGACTTCAAACTCAAAAAAATAAAAAGAGACCCCAATGGTCACTACATTATGATCAAGGGGACAATACTTCAAGAAGAAATAACACTCATTAACATATACTCACCAAACGAAGGAGCACCAAAATATATCAGACAACTGTTGTCCTCTCTGAAAACAGACATCAGGGAAAACACATACGTAGTGGGAGACTTCAACACACCACTATCAACAATGGATAGATTAACAAGACAAAAAATAAGTAAAGAAACTAAAGCTCTAAATAAGTACCTAGAGCATTTGGGCTTAAAAGACATCTATAGAACACTAAACCCAAAAAAAACGGAGTACACATTTTTCTCAAGCGCACATGGATCATTCTCCAGGATCGAACACATACTGGGGCACAAGACAAACATCAACAGATACACCAAGATTGAAATCATACCAACCATCTTTTCTGACCATGAAGGCATCAAACTAGAAATAAACCATAAAAAGAAGGCAAGGAACTATCCTACCTCATGGAGATTAAAAACCACACTACTGGAAGACCACTGGACTAACGAGGAGATCAAAGAAGAAATTAAAAAATTCTTTGAATTGAATGACAAGGAGGACACCAATATCCTAAATGTATGGGATGCAGCAAAAGCAGTAATAAGAGGAAAATATATAGCAATAGAAGCTCACATCAAAAAACAAGAAAGAACTCAAAGAAACAACCTAATCTCGAAACTCAGAGATCTAGAAAAAGAACAACAAAAAACCCCCAAAACCAGTAGAAGAAAAGAAATAATAAAAACCAAAGCAGAAATAAATGAAATTGAAACTAAAAAAAAATCCAAAAGATCAATGAAACCAAGAGCTGGTTCTTTGAAAAAATCAATAAAATAGACAAACCCCTAGCCAGGCTCACAAAGGAAAAAAGGGAGAAAGCACAAATAAATAAGATCATAAATGAAAGAGGAGAAATCACAACGGACGCAGCAGAAATCAAAAGAATAATCAGTAACTACTATGAACAGTTGTATGGAAACAAGTTCAACAATCTAGAGGAGATGGACAAATTCCTACAACTCTACAATCACCCAAAGCTAGATAAAGAAGAAATAGAACACCTAAACAGACCAATTACAATTAGCAAAATTGAAATGGTAATCAAAAACTTCCCCAAAAACAAAAGCCCAGGACCTGATGGATTTACAAATGAATTCTACCAAAGATTCAGAGACGAATTAGTGCCTATCCTTCACAAACTCTTCCAAAAAATTGAGAAGGAAGGGACAATACCAAACACGTTCTATGAAGCCAACATTACACTAATACCAAAACCGAATAAGGACAACACAAAAAAGGAAAACTACAGGCCAATCTCCCTAATGAACACTGATGCAAAAATCCTCAATAAAATTTTAGCTATCAGAATCCAACAATGTATCCATAAGATAATTCACCACGACCAATTAGGATTCATTCCAAGGACACAAGGATGGTTTAACATCTGAAAATCAATCAACGTTATCCAACACATCAACAAAAAGAAATATAAAAACCATATGATAATATCAATAGATGCTGAGAAAGCTTTCGACAAAGTGCAACACCCATTCATGATAAAAGCCCTTGAAATTCTTGGGATACAAGGAACATACCTCAACATCATAAAGGCCATAAATGACAAGCCAACAGCCAGTATCATTCTCAATAGTGAAAAGCTGAAAGCAATTCCATTAATATCTGGAACAAGACAAAGATGTCCACTCTCACCACTGCTTTTCAATATAATACTGGAAGTCCTAGCCAAAGCACTAAGACAAGAGAAAGACATACAAGGAATCCAAATAGGAAAAGAAGAAGTCAAACTATCACTATTTGCAGATGATATGATAATATACATAGAGAACCCCAAAAACTCCACAGAAAAACTAATTCAACTCATCAATCAGTTCAGTAAAGTGGCAGGATACAAAACCAACATGCAAAAGTCAGTAGCCTTCCTATACACAAACAATAAATCTGAAGAAGAAGAAATAAAAAAAAATCCCTTTTATTATCGAAACAAAAAAAATCAAATATTTGGGAATAAATCTAACAAAAGAGGTAAAGGACCTATACAAAGAAAACTATAAAACACTGTTAAAAGAAATAGAAGATGACACAAAGAAATGGAAAGACATCCCCTGCTCATGGATTGGAAGATTAAACATTATTAAAATGGCCATCCTACCAAAAGCAATATACAGATTCAATGCTATTCCAATCAAAATTTCAATGTCATTCTTCAAAGAAATAGAACAATTATTGATGAAATTCATATGGAATCACAAAAAACCCCGAATAGCCAAAGCTCTCCTGAAAAAAAAAGAAGGAAATGGAGGCATCACACTCCCAGACTTCAAACTATACTACAAAGCCATAATCATCAACACTGCATGGTATTGGAACAAGAACAGACATACAGACCAATGGAATCGAATAGAAAATCCAGAAATAAACCCACAGATTTATGGTCAACTAATATTTGACAAAGGAGCAAAGAATATGCATTGGAGCAAAGAAATTCTGTTCAATAAATGTTGCTGGGAAAACTGGGTTGCTACATGCAAAAGAATGAAGCTTGACCACTACCTCACACCATACACAAAATCAACTCAAAATGGATTAAAGAACTAGACATAAGACCTGAAACCATAAAATACATAGAAGGAAATAAAGGGGAAACACTACGTTATTTGCATATCAAAGACATCTTTACAGACACATCACCCAAAGCAGTGATAGTGAAGGCAAAGATCAACAGCTGGGACTACATCAAATTAAAGAGCTCTGCACAGCAAAAGAGACAATAACAAAAACAAAGAGAAACCCCACCAACTGGGAGAACATTTTTGCACATGACACTAATAATAAAGGACTGATCACAAAAATCTGCAAAGAGCTGATGAGACTCAGCAACAAAAAAGAAAATAATCCAGTAAAAAAATGGGCAGAAGAGCTAAAAAGAAACTTCTCTAAAGAGGAAATGCAAATGGCCAACAGACATATGAAAAAATGTTCAACATCACTTGTAATCAGGGAAATGCAAATCAAAACTACCATGAGATACCATCTTACACCAGTGAGAATGGCACATATTAAAAAAACTAGCAACAGCAAATGTTGGCGAGGTTGTGGAGAAAAAGGAACTCTCCTGCACTGCTGGTGGGAGTGCAAACTGGTCCAACCACTATGGAGAGCTGTGTGGAGATTTCTGGACCTACTAAACTTAGAGCTTCCATATGATCCAGCAATTCCACTCCTAGGTATTTACCCAAAGGACACAGAAACATCAATTCCAAAGAACACCTGCACCCCTATGTTTATAGCAGCACTATTTACAATAGCTAAGCTTTGGAAACAGCCCAAATGCCCAAAAATAGATGACTGGATCAAGAAGATGTGGTACATATATACCATGGAATATTACTCAGCATTCAAAAAAGATAAACACATGCAATTTGCAGCAACATGGATGGCGCTGGAAGGGATCATGCTCAGCGAAATAAGCCAAAAAGAAAAAGAAAAATACCGGATGGTCTCACTTGTAGCAGGAATCTAGAAAACTTAAATAAGGGACCAGGAAAAAGAATAACTATAAGAAAGTGAAAATCAAAATCAACAAAAAACTATGAACCAGAGACACTTTTTGGGGGTGGGGGGCGGGAGGGGAGGGATTGGGGTCAGAATGGGGGTTTGCAATTGTATGGGGGAATATAAAAATAAATTTATTATTTAAAAAAAAAAGAAAAGGCATTTTGGAGGTGTTTGAAATAGACATAAAGGACAAAGAGTAATGAACTTGGGGTAAAATTCCAGGTAGAAGATGAGATATTCTGAGCAGGGGAAGACGCAAGGATAGGCTCAGAGTGGGAGAGTTCTGGACACTCATGGTGAGGATGGAGGCAGTGGCACCATGGGAGGATAGGGAAGGGGGCTGGGTCCAACCTGCCCTGAGGAGGAGACTGACCCAGGACTTGTTGGGGTGGAGTGGGAGGGGAGGGGTCAGGATGATTCTTGGGTGTCTACACAGAGAAGCAGGAGCCAGAAGTTGCCTCCCTGCCATGGGGAGTGCAGGACAGCAGATCAGGGTGGTGCTTGGATTTGGCTGGAGGTAAGGAAGGGGGAGACTTTAACATCACAGGGGAGTGAAGCTATGGTGGTTGGAGACCATGGAGCGAGAGGAGAGGAAAGGGCCAAGGGCAGAGTCAGTTAAGAGGCAGGTGGAGTCCTGTGGAAAATGCAGAGGGGTTGGAGATATGGGAGGAACATGGATCAGAGGGGAGCCAGGAATACTGATACTGGGAGTCAAGGAAGATGGAGGTCAGTGATGACTTTGGTCGAACTGATCATGTTGGTGGTGTGACTGTGAAAAGAGACTAGAGGGGCTGGGGAGAATCAAAGGCAAGGGGAAGCACTTGATGGGGGATGGTGGGGGCACCTCTTAGGCAAGCTCTACTGGGATATGAAGACTGTGTGCATTTTGGGTGACATGGAGATGGCAGGACAGAAAGTGACAGGTGAGTCTGAAGGTTGAAGGCTCTGAGAAGGGATGGATAGCCCAAGTCTGGGAAGGAACGGAGTGAATGGAGAAGGGCACCCTGTCCAGAGGGGCCCATGATGGAGCCCATGGGCTGTGGAATCATCATCAAGCCCCATATGAGGAGGTTGTTTGGAGTGGGAGTCAGGGCTTAGAGTTCTGAGGCTGATTTGTGGGGTGTGGGAAGGGCATCAAGGGGGCAGTCTCTGGAATTGTGGGTGTCAATCCTGGCACTGTTGTTTCTATGGGCAGTGGGTGGAAGTGGCAGGGCGAGGACGACCTAGTGTTTTGAGAGGTTTGGGGACTGGCTGCGCTGCCCTGTAGTCAAAGGCAGATTCAGATTTAAATTTAGGACCTAAGAAAACAAAGGACTCACCGGGATCACCTCTTCTTCCAGGCTTGCCACGTCGTCCAGGGGGGCCTAGACCAGAAAACAAGGAGGAACTCGTTGAGAGAGTTGGTGGGCTTGGCACATGCTGCCTGCCTATACACCCAGCCCAGTAACCACATCCTGGGGGCAGCCTATTGGCTGGTACAGGGCAATCTCCTGCCCTCCCTCACCCTTGCTCTCCAGGCCTCTGCTGATAGCTCATCCTCACCCTCCTCACCCACTCATTCAGTTATTCACTTATCTGTTCATTTATTTATTCACAAGTCCTTCCCCAATCAATAGGCATTACTACCTAGAAACTCAGAAGAGTTGGCAGCTGAGAAACTTCAGACTTGTGAGAAAAATTAGGTGTCAGGTGGGACTTAAGTTACCTTATCGAAAGCCTAGAGGAATACTTGCTAATACTCACTAAACGAAACCAGAGACAACACGCTACATAGGACACTCCCTGGCGTGTCAGATGCTTAAGCTCAGTAGTCACCAGTACTAGCCTGTCCATCTGCTGTTTTTCCTTTGTTTGCTAGAGCCTTCTGTACATCTCTCCCCCATGTCTCCAGGCCAGGGAGATGCTATAAATTTCTCATGATTTATTACAGAGAACTTGCACACCAAAGCACATTCTTTTTGGTTTCCAGCCCTCTGTCCGCACATTTTTGTCTTGCTGATTTTATGGTGCACACTGGGATGCCTCTGCCTTTGACCACCTGCCCTGTCTGCCCCTGAGACCCGAGTGACAGTGCCGCTGAAGGAGAGAGTCCTGGGTAATGGAAAGACAGGAGTCAGGTCTGGTACTCTCCCTGCTCTGGACCTAGCCTTCAGCTCACAGTGGGACCTGGGAGTAGGGGTTGAGGCCTCACTTGGGTCCCTTCTCCAGGAGCTTGTGGACATCCTGATGTCCCTTTGCTTCCTCCTTCTGCCTCTGTCTTCACTCTCTCTGTCTCTTACCCCTCATCTTCCCTCATGTTTTCCCAGGTGCCAAAAGAGACAGTAAGAAGAAATGAAGTGTATACACTGAGTAGCAACTTTCTTTTAAAGATTTATTTTTATTTTTATTTATTTATTTATGCATACAAGAACTGGGGTGTAGGCCAGAGGTGTGGGGGGTGAGAGGATTCACCAGAGACAGAGTGGGAAGCAGAACAGGCAGACTGACTGAAATGCATTGCTGAGGGGAGCAGCGGGCGAGACAGGAGAGGTCTGCTGCACCAAGTGGGTCAGCTCCCTAGCCAGGATTGAACTTGTGCTGCAGGGGCCAGGTGACAGCTTGATAGCTGAGACTTTTAACTCTTGCACCATCTGGGAGGCCCTCAGTTGCAATTTAAAGTATATTTGACACCTTGTCTCTGATTTCACTCTCCCACTGCGCCAGGCCCTGGGCTTTGTCCTAAGGCAGCAGAAAGGCTGTGGCTGTATTATAGGCATTGGTCTTTGCTGTATAAGTTAACCTGAAATCCCCTCAAAAATTCCCAGAACAACCACAGAGGAGAGGCCATGACTCAGGTCCGAGGCAGATGGTTTACTGAAAAATTAGAGTGGACGTGTTTCCCTTTTCCCGTAGTCTTTTTTTCAAGCAATAGGCAGATCCATTATGCGCCCTTGAGCTGGGGACTGGGACAGGATAGAGAAGCAGCAGCAGCCCAGGGGGGAGATTTCTGAATTTATTGTTAAAGGGGTGTCCCAGAAGGGGAGGAGGGAGAGACTCAAAAAAAGAGAAGAAACTTCTCTGGGTGGGGAGGGGGGTCTTCTTGGTGCTGTTAGACCACAAAATCTTTGCAAGTCTGGAGATGAGGTGAGAATGAATAGCCAGCCTTGTGGACCTGGGGCTTGAGGTCAGGGCAGTTAAACAAAACGAAAACATTATGAACATGCTATTTACTACACCCCTGTATTTATAATTAAAACTTAAAAAAAAATTAGCCATTTTTAAATACTGCAGTGTTAGTTATATGTATACTGTCTTACAGTGGATTTCTAGAACTTTTTCACCTGACAAAATTTGAAATGTTTTTTCCATTGAACATTTCCTCCCCCTCCCCCATTCCCTGGCAACCACGATGCTACTTTCTAAGAGTCTATTTTAGATATGTCACAGAAGTGAAATCACACAGCATTTGTTTTAGTGTGTTTGGCTTACTTCACTTAGTATAATGTACTCAGAGTTCATCCACACTGCAGCACATGTCAGAATTTTCTTCTTTTTTAAGGTTGAATAATATTCCATTATATGAAGAGATTACAGTTTCTTCATCCATTCATCTGCTGATGGACCCTTGAGCTGCTTATAATCTCTTGGCTGTTGTGAAAATTGCTGCAAGGACATGGGCGTGCAAATATCTGTCAAGATTTTGTCTTCAGCTCTTTTGGGTCTATACTCACAGTGGGACTGGTGGGTCATATGATAATCCCATTTTAATATTTTGAGGAACCGTTGTACTGTCTTCAATACTCACTATTTTATATTCCTGCTAATGGGGGGCATAAGGGTTTTAATTTCTCCACATCTTCATCAACATTTGTAATTTTCTGTTTTTTTCCTTTTGATGGTGGTCATCCTACTGGGTATGAGGTGAAATCTCATGGTTTTGTTTGTATTTCCCTAATGATGAGCAATGTTGAGCATCTTTTCAAATAGTGGTTGGCAATTTGTATATCTTCTTTGGAGAAATGTCTATTCAAGTTTTCTTAATTGGGTTGTTTGTTTTGTTGTTGATTTGTAGGAGTTCTTTATATATTCTGAACATTAACCTTTTATCAGCTAAATAGTCTGCAAACACTGTTGAGTGTTTTCTTTGCTGCACAGAAGTTAAATTTGATGTAGTCCAATCTATTTTTGCTTTTGTCACCTTTTTAACTTTTTGATTTAATTTTAACCTTTGGGTTACTGCTGTACAAGTTGGGTAAGGGCCCAACTTCATTCCTTTGCTCATGGATATCTCATTTTTCCAGAACATTTTGCCAAAAAGACTGTCTTGTCGCTATTCTGTAATTTTGGCACTTCATTGAAGATGGTTTGACAATATGAAGTGATGTACCCAGAATTTTGAGAGCAGAGCTCCCCACTCTCTCCAGTTACAGAACCCCTGATTTCTCCTCATACTAGATTCAGACCTGGAGTTCTGTGCTGGAATCACCCAGGAACCCCACTATGTTGACCTGGGGAGGCCAAGGTGCTGGCACCCCATAGTAGATGATTCCTCCTTACATTATTGTGGGATTTAAAACTTATGAAGTACCTCTGGGCCCATGATCTCAGCTGAGCCACTTGGCCATCTGCCTCCAGACAACCCCACAAGGTGTTTTACCAACATCTGAGGCCTATTGTGGCCAAAATGCACGCCTGATTTGCTGGCTGCTGAGTGGACTGACAGTGTCTGAGAACTGTGTGGGGCTGGCCTGGTGTTTGGCCTTTTCACCTCTTGGTGCACACGTGTTTTCAGGGTCCGGAACCCCACGGGCACCACTGGCATCATGCTCTTTCAGTTGAGGGAGGAAGAAGGCCTAGCTTCTATTCACAAGGCCCAGCAAACCAGTCCTGGCTTCTGGGCTCTTGCCAGGCCACACAACTTGTTCTCAGCTGAGCAAGGCCACTTGCCTGGGACCCCAGGCTGTGGTGTGGGTCCCAGCAGGAAAGGAACCCTCAAGTGGGAGACTAAGTCAGGCTCCTCCTGGATCTGAACCTAAGGCATCACCCTGGTGTTCTGATGGTCATTACTGGGGATGATATAAAATTCTCCATCTGGGCAACTGAAGCCAGATGAAGATAATTGCCACTGCTGAGGTGGCTGAACAAACGGATGTGTCTGGGTGGTTTTCCTGGGTGGCATGTTCAGGAAGAAAGCCCAATGAGGAGGAGGCTGGCAGGATGGGCAGTTGTCTACGGCCTTTGGGGGAGCTCACAGCAGGCATGAAGCGGATCCCCACTGTCGCTGAGTGCACAGGGCCTGCGGGGCTGCAGTCCGAGCAGGCTGAAGAGGACTCCCAGATGGAAGGGACATATGGAGAAAGAGAGTGAGGCTGCTGCTCATGAACCCTCTCCAGCGCCAATCCAAACCAAATACTGGAGACTCTGTGTGAGCAACTCACAGACCGGTAGCTGGTCAGCTGCTTATTCTGAGACCCACATGCAAGTGTTCAACTGTCTCTAGGACAATTCCATTGGAAGGCAACATGTCCAAACCCAAGCTTCCCTGCCAGTTCCCCACATGCTCCCCCTGTGTGTCACCTACGTGCAGGTACCACCTGTACTCACAAAGCCAGACTGGCACCACCTGGGAGTTATCCCTTTGCACCCACCCCACCTACACCCCAACTGAGACCCCTTCTTTTTCAGCATCAGGCACTCTCCCCACACCCAGTCTCCCCCTCTCCAGCCACGCCTGATTTCCTCTTCCTAACAGAAGGTGCGGCAGGACCTGGTGATGCTTGCTGAGGGAAGGAGGTAGGGAGGGAGGGCATGGATGGGTAAGGAACCGTATCCCTCTTCACCATCTCTTCACCATCTCCCGGTGTCCAGCTGGAATGGCCGCCGCCCGCTGCAAGGATCTTCACCATTTTCCCCTTTGCCCCACAACAAACCACTGACCTCGGTGTAAAATTCCCATGGGAAAGTCCCATGTTTCTGATGATGAACTTTTGAAATTTCCTTTGAGCAAATTCTAGGTTAGTTGGTTTTTTTCTTTTCGGTTGTGTTTAGGGAAGAGGATAATCCACATTTTCCCACTTTGCCATGTTGTAGGCCAGCGGGCCGCCATTCTCTTTAAATGTCCACTTGAACAAGATCCAGGGCTTCCAAGAGACACAGGGCTACCTGGTTTGATGGGCACAGGCAACTCAGATTGGGGTGCTTTCTGCCCTCCTTTCTCTTTCACGGAGAGGACAGAGGTGGTAAGAGCAAAGGGAGGCCCTGGAGGAGGGGAAGTGCCATGGCTGAGCTTCATGGTGACCGTGGGGTTCTCCCGCCGCTGCTTTCACACATGGAGAGGTTGGGCACACCTGAGGCCTGGCCTGGAGGACCTGTAGGTGGGGAAGGG